TGAACAAAAAATAAAAATAAAAGTGTGGGACAAAATGGCCAGATGTCTCCACCCTAAGCAAAGCGCACATGAAGGCACCCTAATCTGGCGGTTATGCGTATTCTTGATGACGAGATAAAAGAGAGGCTGAAAGGACCAATAGGCGTGGCCGAAATTTCACTGCATTCGATGATTTCCTGACTAAACGGTATCCAGGACCCAACGATTTGACTGCGGAAATATATGAGAATTGCAAAAACATCATGGTTGGGTTCCTTCATGCAGTGGTACTTAAAGCACGCCAAAAAAGGTGTCAACCTCATTCATATATAAAACCATATTGTGCTAATCCCAAGTGTCGGTGATGATGAAGAGCTACAAAACTATAAAGACCTATCGACCAATAGCGGTCAGTAAAGTGGATCATAAAGGATTGATTCAAATTCTCGCCAGAATATTACAGAAATTATTTCTGAAATAATTGAAGAGCTCCAGACCTGATTCATTAAAGAAGCTGTACTGTAACAAACATTTACTTCGCAAAATGTATATTAGATTTGTGTGAAAAGTATCTGGATGAGGTGGCATTGCTTCGGACCTTTAACTTTAATAATAACTTTAACAATAACTTGATATATTTCCATCGATCATGATGGGCGCCCCAAAGGGAAAAGAAAAAGCTGCTGTAGGCAGCTTGAGTGGTTCTCGGGCCCTTGACACTGGTCAAGCACAAACATGCGGATAATTTGCAAAAGACAACTTATACAGTAGGAGCATCGTACGCACAGTGTATTGTATAAAACAAAACATTTAATCGGTTACAACACTTTCCTCAATCTCTTGTTCAATCGCGTACAACGCTGTGTATGGTATAAAATATTAAAACGTGTAAAAGTGGGCGAATTTATTATGTGTTTTGTTCAAATGGCAGAGACCGGATGTACCACCTAAATTAACGGACGTACAACAACGCGCAATAATGTATTGTTTGCCGTGAAACAGGCCTCCGCAATGTCACCTCTATTGTTTAGAATTTATTAAGAGGATTTTCGTAAAAATGCTCTTAAGAACAATATATAGACGGATCTAAGCTCTAGAGTAGAGAGAGATCGAACAGGTCGCGTATTTATACGTCGAAGCCCTATTTTATAAGAATTACGCAAGCGTTTCTGAAGTGGCGAAGAAACTGAAAATATTTTATGAGCTATCAAGTGCGGCTGTCAGATGGGAAAAGTGTTGTCGTTTTTGCCATCGCACGTGGGCCATAGGACCTAATATTTCCATAGGTACTACTTTTACGCCAACGCGAACTGAATATTTGGGAGTCATACAGCGTAAAACATAGTATCTTCAAACTCGCATCTGTAGGGTCACTTTCGAGCTAGACAGCCTCTTTGGAAGTTCAAAAGCTGGACTTCATAGAGCTGTATGTTAACTCGGTATTGACAACAGGGTAGACGCTACGCGTGTTTTAGGCCAATCGTGTCTCCGGTTGGGGTCACGTGACTACAGTCAAGAATCTGGTGACAAAGCAAGACATCGTACCTTCCCGGCGCCCAAGGCCACACATAGCATTCACTGCACTGTCAACCTTCGTTACAAGTGACAAATCCCCGCGTTGTGGCCCCATAAGATAAGCCTTTTGTTCGTGAAACTCAGTTTTGGCCTCTCCTTCTATCATTTTCTCTCTCTCCCTAAGCTGAAAGCGTTGTAAAAGGTGAGTGGTCACGTGGTTTGACGGATGACGCATTCGTCGTTGCCGATCTCGAAATGCGTTTAGCCGGACCCAGTTTGGCGAGTGAATTCGCCCTCTGTAGCTGGTGCGTATGTCTGCTTCTGCAAGCGATTTCTTCAAAGAAGCCCAAGAATTTTTTGTGATGCGTTTAGTGATCGGTTCTACAAACGACAGCTTGTGCTACATCGTGTTGAATCTTCACGGGCACCCTCTCGTTTCTGTGTTCGAGTGATGGCTTTGCCGTGGCCGTGTCGACATCTCCCTCGGATAACACCTTTCAAGTCGCGTGTCGTCAACGTATCTCGCGACAATTGATCGTTTTCCTAAAGGTATTCTTCCAGATTACCTCTAGATTTAGGCCGTGTTTATCTCCCCGCAGCCGGGAGAATAATTGTGCAGAATGTTTCGGCATTGGTGCGAATGCGCTACAAGCAGAAAGTTTCGATATGCCGCCGACAAAGTTTTGACGTGTCGCCAAAAAACAGCAACAACAACCACTCTTAATTACGCGTTCCTAAATTTGTCGAGCGGCTTTCCGAGTCGCTTGTAAAAATATTGTTAGAATTTTGCGAAATACTGGTAAACAAGGCTAGGTTACCGTCATAATCTGGACCCTGAGATGAGGATAAATCAAATAACGGAAAACTCTCATTGACTTAGGCTTTATATTATGATTTTTCCTAACCGGCTTGCCTACATACTGTCACGAATGACAAATGATGAGGCAGAGAATAACTAAATAAACTTAACGTTTAATGAGGCGAACTTGTGCCCAAATAACAGAACAGAAAAAGGATAGCGTCGCAGGCGTCGATGGCGGCGAAACAGCAGGATCGAACGCTCAGGCGAGAATAAGTGCGTATGCGGCCTTATTTCGCCCACCTGAATAGGTAGACCGTTTGGGCAGCCTTGACCTTCTTGGAGAAAAAAAGTTATCTTCATGTGTGCGTTTTTGTCGCAAAAATAACGTTATCATTTAAAGCGTTTGGTACTTTTGTAAGAAAAAACAAACAAAAAAAAAACTCATAGGCGGGTTTGAATTTCAGCCGAGGTGCGCCATCTGACGGAGGCTAATTGTAAAGGTGTAGTGTAACCGAGATTTTGGTTGCGCGATCGTAAATGTTTAAGTATTATTTGCAAAACTGACCCAACCTAGTATCAAGTCTCCGTAACGCGTACCGTGGAACAAAATGAGTCAACGCATTAGATAACAACCGAACGCAAATCTGAGAACCGGCCTTAAAGGGGACCTCCGGAGCTTTCTGCGATCGTCTGTTTACGGTGTTATATTGCGTAGTAGGTGCAAGTTAATATGTATACAAAGTTTTAGATTACAAAACCGTTTATTAAGCAGATGGCAGAAGAAATAAATCGGGACTATTTTCTCTTGGAAGACAATCCCCCATTCCCTACCCATCGCTAAAACTTGACCAATGGAAATGCTGCATCTCGGCGTGAATGCGAACGTTATTATTGCAACACTTTTTAAGCTTGTTGTAAATTAGAGTTTGAGAAAAACGGAAACTGATTGTGGTGCGGGAAACATAGTCCGCAATTATCGCTCCAAAACCAGCGAACTATGTTTTCTCCCCGCAAGCTTGTTGCTAGGGGGTGATGCGTCGGCGCGTCGGCTTGTCTGCTTCCCGGGGCGTCTACAGGCGTGCAATTGCGGGACACGTGTTCCTTCTTCCCATGGATCCCGACTCCGAAGCCAGCTTTGCGATCCTTCCACGTCATCGAGTCAAACCTTTCCTTGTCATCTGTGGGATGCGACTGCATATTGCAGTAGCAGCGCGACGGTGCGGTGCGACGAACGACGACTGCCGAGCACAAAGTCCGGGTTCCTTGACGACGGTCAGCGCGTGTTCGAGAGATTCCTCCGCGGGTCGGCGGTCGACCACATTGGTGACACGTAGTGACGCCGGAATCCTTCGCTTGCTATTGGCTGACGCGTACAGAGATGCCCTTCCCGTTTTCCGGGGTTCATCTTAGAAAGGGGGGGTGCCGGGACTTTGATAGCAATTTTAGTAGACAAATCCGCCGCGCAAGACCGTAATTTTATGATTTTTAGGATGCTTAGGGCCAGTAGATTGAGTTACCGCCATAAATAGACCATCGCAGAACGCTCCGGAGGGCCCCTTAAAGACCACGTCAGTCGAACATTACTGCAAGGGTAACTAACTGCACTCTCTTATTTGAAAAGCCGTCGAGTAGTGTCCAGAAAGTGTGAATTTAATGCCGCAGCCAAGGGCTTTCATTTGACGCCACTGTTTTAGTTTCTTTCCCCGAGCAGTCAAAGTTTACGATTCCCCAAAAACATCAGATGGACATTGTTCAACGTATCCTTCGTCCAAAGTGCTCTTTAAGCTTTACATATTATAAGCTTTACATATTAGTTTTGAAAATAACCGCAAAACCTACACTTGTGCGGTTTGTGCAGGTGAGTAATACGGCTAGTGGGACATAGTATAGGGGGCTAATCGTAGCGTTCATTCTGTTAGTTACGCAAGATTTGTTAATTACCTTCTTTAATTAGTGAATTTTAATTAGACTCCACTTAGAAACTTGCCGAGCATTATCGAAAACAACTAAATCCACTCTTTTCAGAAGGGTATAACGCAGGGACAGCACATTACGGCGTTCCATAACAACGCTCCATTTGCACGCACTTCTAGGTGTCGATGTCTTATTGGAGCGAATCTCTGCGCCCGCGTTCCTTCTCTCCAGTGACTGCGACGCACAACACGCGTGCCCACAACGTCCTTCGATCCTACGAAGGAGGCGAGGGAGTGGCTTCGCGCCGCGACCACTAGGGAGCAGGACCGCGGGCGTAAAGATGCGCTCAGATAAGAAACCGGAATCTAGAAACGCGTTCATGGTAAGTGCGTTTTCAAAACGCCGTAAAACGCTGTCCCTGTCATATTTCTCCCTAAAAAGAGTTGATTTAGCGGTTTCCGATGATGCTCAGCAAGTTTCTGATTGGAACCTTATGTCTAATTTCACCCTTTAAAAAGTTAACTAACAAATGATACTTAATTAGAGGACTGATTGTTACGATTACCCCCCCCCCCTTACTATGTCCCCCTGACATAACTCACCTGCACCTACAGCGTAAATGTAGTTTTCACACTTTTTTAAACAAATCTGTAAAGCTTAAAAAAAAAAACACAATCTATTTCTTCTTACACGCCACTAAGATGATCGCTGAAATATGTTTTGTCTCAAAGACTTGGCAAAAAAACTTGAGCTGAACCTGCGTTTTCTTTTTTCTTTCTTTTTCGCATAGGTGTCGCATACCTTTACGGACTCTGCCAAGAACTATTCCGTTTCGGTATAGTGGCAGATGTCCCTCATACATACTTCATGGTTTCCCCTGCTGCTCACGAATTGGGACATATGTAAGTCTTTTTACAAATAATATCTAAGAGTTCTGGTCACTGGTAAAGCATTCTTACAAGCAGTGTTTTCTGAATGACGCATAAGAACAATCATTAACTAAGGATAAAAAGTGGTATTTTATATTATTTGTTTTTCTGCTTGTTTTCTATATCAAATTGAGTATTGCAGAACCCACCTTTAGGTTAATTGAAACGGTGCGTAGAAACTGCCCTAGCGAACGAATTTAAAGGGCAACTCAGGCCAAAACTCAAAATGAAATAAATTACTGCTATCGCTGTAGTGACACAAATCACAACCCCAGCCAAAATATTACGTCCGTGAGACGCCGCATTCTTAACTAACGCCGATAATAAAAATGCGACCCGCCTCGTGCCGCTGCTCCTTAGCAGGTGGCCAGCGGGTTGCCGATCGCTAAAGCAACATTGGGCCGTGACGTCATTATCGTTCACTTTTTCTTTTCCTCCGGCCCGGACGTTGCGCGGAGTGCGCTTCTTTGAGCCACAACCACTGATTGGCGTGTTTAGCCGTTGCTTTTACCTGTAGCCCGTGTAGCTTCGGTATATAGCCTTTTGTTTATTTGCTCGTGAGGACTCCAAGACTCTTTTTAGCGAGAACTCGGTGCGCCCAAGACTGCCCAGCTGTTCCTCGAAAGATGCCGAGTGCAAATTGTAGCGCTGTGGGCTGCTCAAACAACCCGCCGCGCAACACGGAGGTGCCTTTTAACAAGTTTCCGACGAACCGGAAATTGGAGAAGGTGTAGGTGAACGCTCTTCGACGAGTGGACTTTGGACTTCGGCTTTTACGCGCCCGAGGAAAAAAGAACTAAAAAACAGACGTGTACAGCCCAGCACGCGTGTTCGGGCGCCGCGGCCCGCGCCAGAGAGCCTCAAAACTTCGTGTCTTGGACTGACCCACAGCACGAAAGCGAGAGGGCCCCCAGTAGTGTACGTCACTAGCAGCGCGGCGTCGAGCAACGCCGCTCCATCCGCCGTTCTCTGATGACAATTTAGGCCTAGCGACGAGTACGGAACACCGCACACACGGCGAAAGCCGCCAAGTACGGCACTGAACGAGTTCACTCGTATCTGAGTCGCTATAGCTTTTGGGTATATAAGCGACGAGTACGGCATAGCGCACGCACGGCGGTGGCCGCCGAGTACGGCACCGTTCGAGTTCACAGGTTTTCCAGTCGCTAGCTCTAGGGTATACACACTAACTCTTGCTACGCATGCCGGATAGCTACCACGTATACAGAATTAAAACAAAATAAGATTACCTCGTACATTTAAACTGCAAGCGAAGCAGAGGTAGGTGCCGCTCGCCCTGCGTACTCGTTGAGCGAGAACGATCCTGACGTCACGTTCACATAGCGGCTGATTTCCAGTGCTGCCGGGGCCTCGACCGGCTAGTTTCGGTTTCGTTGGCCGCGCCCCAACCAAAACTTTGAGGCGTCGATATCTTTAAAACTACGCACAATAACGAGAAAAATGACACCTTGCAATTCAGTGACACTGACAGCACTAAAAACTGTCATAATCTCAATATCGAAAGTATGGACCGGAGTTGCGCTTTAATGTACCGGTGAGTCTCATAGTCGATATTGCTATAAGACAGACTTCTATGAAAAAAATATAAAAATCATGTAGTTTTATCTGTGTAAATAGGTCAAGACAATCATTTTTATCTAATACAACTATTCTGCATACAATATTTCACGAGTTTATATATATAAAAATTATAACATTTATAATATATTGAACCAAAATATCGCTAAATAAAAATAATAGCCAAAACATAATGTCCTATATGAGCCAGGTGAAGGCACATCATAGAAGACAATCAAAACGAAACGTCAAAATGAAAATTAACTGAGAGCGGGTTGATAAAGATTTGAAAAAAAAAAAACAGTGAAGAATAAAACATGTAGGAACGATGACGAACAGTAGAGTTCTTGAAACAAGCAACAGACATTTAATGATGCCACCATCACTGCCGTAAGCCCTTCCCTTCCCTGCCCCATAAAACTCCTCGGAAAAGGAAAAAAAGGCCTTCAGAAAAAGACGAAACCATGGAGAAATAAGAGTGTTAAAGCAGAAGAGAAAAAGAAGAATGTAAGCGAACTGCTCAGTTATCGAAAGAAAATGAAAAAGAATAAGAACGGAAGAAAGGTTTAAAAATATTGCTTGAAAACGAGCGTGTCGGTTAAATAGATGCGAATACATGAAAGGATAAAAACATAGAGAATGGGGAAAAAAGACGGAACTTATTTTATTTAGCCATGGGGAATGTCGACAAGAATATTTCTACACCTTTAGTATCACTGAGAGGCAAAAGTCAAACTCTTAAAACCAAAAAATGACCAGATTACTAACACCTCATCGTGACACTTGTGCTTTTTAAAGCTTTTAAATTTATAGTATTTTTCGCTTTCCCTCACCAATTTCCTTTCTTTCCCCCTTCCAGAACGTTGAAATCTTTAAGGATGATTTTTATATTTTGTGTATTTTATCATGTTACTAAGTGAATGAAGTTGTGTTTTCGCCCCCATTCTCTATGTTTTTATCCCTTCATGTATTCGAAGAAATCGAGAAAAAAAATCTAAGAAGAAAAGGAGGGCATTACTTTACACCTGGCACAAGAAGTTTATTTCTATCTTGTATAACCATAGAGAAGGCGAGGCAAGCGTAAAATCATCACCGGCCATCCTACAGGATTAAATTATTTATCTTCCAAGGCTGTCCTTGTATTTACCGATAGCTTCGGCTCATAGTTCGAACAAATGCGGCTCCGGTCCACAATCAGCTAAAGAGTGTCACTGGATACCCATTTTACTTCGACAAAAGTGGTCTCTGAGACGAGTGTTGATGCATCTGCCAATAGTGGTGGGACCACCATTCTCATCGTGTTAAAGACTATAGACCATTTTCGTTGTTTAGAAACGTAAACTGCCGCTTACGTTCCAAGCCACTTCCGGTTGCTCCGTCGTTTGCAAGCCTGTCGATCTTGCTCACGTTACCACTGCAAGGGGGCATAACTTCTACACGGACAACAAAGTCGGAGAATGTTTAACCAGGACCTTCGAGTGTACAATTTAACAAATAGGAGGACGCAAGTTGGTGTACAAGAATATGCTAAAACTGTTACCATACCTTACGCCTCCGCGTTCTCTCTTTTTTGGAGAACTGGCGGTTGAATGTTTCATCGACATTTCCAGCAGCGGTGCTAACATGGGCGTTGATCATTCTCTTTGTAAAGCGGAAGTTGTCTGGGACGTCAAAGGCTGGAGCACCGCCTGGGGGCGTCTGCCATGAAAAGAGTCTATGCGCCAACACTCGACGCTGACGTCACGGCGCTGTGGTGGCACTGCTATTGGCAGGGCGCATGTGCAGACGCTCCTCTTTACGCGAGTCTGGGTTCTGCGCACGCGCACTGCCACACACCTTGGGCGGACTTGTTTGGAAATTGCGCGTCGGCCTATACACGTCTTGTGTTTGTCCGCTCTTTGTAGCCTCCGTCCTGGGTTTTAGAAACGTTCAACTTCAGCCATGTCGCCTGCTGCAGTACGTCGTCACCATTCCAATGTTTACGAGTACTCAACCCAGAGTGCGAACTCCTCAGCCTAGCACGCGCATATTCGTAGCTTGGGAAAGCGAGCGAATCACGCGCAAACGCGCAAACACTGAAAAGGGAACCGGCCAGAAGCGATATGTGATCTACGATGACAATACGCAGAAAAGGGATGAGATAAATGTCAAGTGAAGCAGGTTTGTTTTAACTGTTCGTGATTGACATCGATGTGTTAGATATAAATATTTACGACAGTTAAAATAAAAATAAGATGACAGAGATAACACTTTAACTATGCACCACGGCGTATCAACAGCCGTTTTGATGCTTAATGAGAATAGAGCAATGACTATATGTTTAGAATATATAAAACTTTTATGTTTTGGTGCGTTGGAAATGTGGAAATGTATTTACTAACTCATTCTTCCCGTGATGCATCTGCTTGTGAGAATGTGAATTTTGTGTTGCTCACACTTCACAGTCCTCAGCGGCATTTGTCATTCACAGACTGGGAATGCCTCACGATGGGCAGATTCCACCCTACCATGTTCCAAAGGTGACATGGAAACGATGTTCGGCGACGTCGGGATATCTCATGGCACCTTCACTTGGCGGCAGAAATGATGGCTTTTTTTCCCACTGTTCTCTGCAACACATGAGGGTTTTTGTGAAGTAAGTAACGTGCCTCTTATGTGAATATGTTTTAAAGAATTTTTTTTCTCTACGTCCTAAAACTGCATTCGCTTAAAAATTAAAAAAAAAATCTACGTGCAAAAACTATCACAAACATTAAGGCAGCGGATCAAAAATATTCAAACCAATGTGTACGCATTTTAAGGTATTTAGCGCACCACGTAGAGAGGAGAAGAACCGGACAGGACAAAAGAGCGTCTTTTCTGTCCTGTTCTTCTCTCTCCTTTGTGCGCTAAATACTTAAATATGGTAGACTACCAATTAGCACAGATGTCAACTTTACTACAATGTGTACGCCACTTTAATTTTTGTTTTTGTCTCTGTGTAGACTTCGCAAAATGTAGCCTTCTATCTATACTTCATTTATTCTCAGGTCAGAGCGCAGTCAAACGCTAGAATACATTAAACCACAGACGCGTATACTTAACCGGTAAGTTGCATGCGAAGTCGCCGTGCTCGATTACTTCAGCCGGGAAGGACATCGCACAAAAAGGGAACTAACGGCGTGGCGTTGCACTTCTATCGTTGTTAATTGGCCCTGGAGACTCGTGGCGTCGACTACGCTCTGACCTTTTGTCAAACGATGCATAGAGATGTTTTAAACACAATCATCACTTCGATCGCGTGTTACATGCGGGGAGTATAACAAAGAAAGTCAAAAGTCAGCGCTAAATAAACAGAAGTTGGGGTGTAGGAATAGAGCTTAAAATCGTGTAGCACAGCGTTATTCCAAATTTGAACACTACCGAAAAAATAGCAGTCTATTTCACCAGGCAGCGAGTGGTCTCGGGTGTTGTTGGACATTTCTTGCAAGCGGCAGAGACTCGTCGAATCAGTGGTCTCACACGCGTGCAAAGTCCTGGCAAGCCACCAGACTTCTTAACGTGACGTACACAGGGAATCTACATAGTAGCACGTTACTCACTGCCTATTGAAAGCAGGTCCTGCGAAGTTTGCCACATGATCACCTTTTTGGATCCCTCTGGCCCATGCTCATCATTTTTCAAATCTATATATAGTACTAAAACGCTCCTAGACTTATCCCTTTAAAATTACCGTCTGCACGTGTGCTGTCAATGTGTTTCCCTCTGACAACCCCGGTGCATCTTTACACCCTGCACTAATAATTAAGTTGTCAACTAAGGGTATGTTCATGCCCTATTCGCGGTACTGCGGTAGCCTCAGTTTGCTCCGATTTCGCACGTTATAACTTTAAAGTCACAAAACTAAAGCAAAATGTTTTTGAAGGATTTTTTAGTACATACATATTATAGAGGAGTTAGAAATATTTTAACTAACTTCTAAAATAATCCGCATTTAGTAAAATGGCACATTTCAGCGTTTTTTATCTTCTTACCGTTGACCACGAAACCAATATTTAGCACAGCGATAATATATATATGGCAACACGCAGGCACAGTTTTGAAAATCCTATCGTTTATAGATGCGAAAAAAAAAACATCAGCATTATTGCGGATTGTGCCGTGTTTGCGATTTTTCTTTGTTAACAACGCCAATACTTCCCGGTAATTGATTTGAGTCAATGTCCACTAAGCATAATTTGTTATTAAATATTTCTAGACCCGTGAACACAGCAGTTATTTTGAGGGATGTGACGGTCTTCGGATCCCCAGGTGGCTGGTTTATAATTCCCGACTGAGGTTCCCACAATCTGGTAGAGGCTTATTGCGGAAAGAGCCACGTGTAACCGAGAATTCAATGACACGCGATTTTAACATGCAAAAACAAAAAAACGCCTAAAAAAATCCGCACTTGGTCGAAATTGTTCCACAGGCCTCTACTGCCGCACAAGATATGCTTCGTGAGCTGAGCAGGGCATGGAAAATAAAAAAAACGAGATTATTTTCCATCAGTGTATACGTAGCACCACAGACTACCATTTTAACGAGGAATGCGTTATAGGGCTCATTTTCATTAGAAGAGTCTAATGCTACGAAAACGTAATTAAAACCGCGACACGCTTAACATCACAACTGAAATCACTAACATAAGTATTTTTAATTTTGCTGATAAGAAATCAATTTAAAAAAAAAATAATGTAACCACGCTACCTTGCGAATCGAATCGAAGCCCTCTCGATTTGCAGCCCGATGCTCGTCGTTCAGCCTCGCTGGCTGGACGACGGGAGCGGAACCTGTCACGACTTGTACATACGCGCAACGAGCCTGAGTAGACAATCACATGTCCTTATCAAGCGATCACACAGTTGCATCCGGCGACGGGTCGTCATAGACGCCTATGGACATGCAGATTCCTACTCCTATGTTGTATTTTCCCTAGACTCGAAAGTAACTTAATGTTTGTGCAACAAGCTCTCAGGTTTTTCACTATGATCAATTTTCACTATCTCGCCTGCAGACTATTCATTTCTTTTTTTATACTAAACAATCGTACGAACACTCACGAGTGGCAATGGATTATGTTTAGCGGAACCTTCATTTTACGGGAAAGTTTGGGAGAAAAATTACGTGTAGCGTGTCTTCCTGGGTTCAGAAATTGAGGCGAACAGAAACGCAACTGTATTTTAAATATGCTCCACATTTTGTTTTCGACTTTGTTAATAAGATTAAAATAATTTGATTATGAATTTTTAGACTACGCATAAGCATAATTTAATTTGTGCCCACTTATTTTTAGCATTGATGCTCATAACTATTCTAATATTTTCAGACGTCAGACGGCGAAATGTTACGAAGTAAAGTCGAAGACAGCCGTCCAAGCACCGGGCCAACTTCCGGGCGTGGGACTGAGCATGACAGGTTTATGCAAGAGGCTCCATCCTCACGCCCCTGAAATAAGGGGCTTCTCTGTAAGTTGCAGCAAATCAATTAGTTCAGTATTCGAAGATACCTAGCAATCTTTACATGAGTTATTTCATCTCAAATCAAGAGGAAAAAGAAGGTCGAACTTCTAGTTTTGAGTAAACATATATATGTTCTAGAGAAGTATCTATTTAGAAAAAAAGAGGATAGCCACTAATTGGGAATACTTCTTTGTTCTCCATTTATGAAGCCAGAAATAACCGCGGTTGATATGAGCCTTTTTCCCAATTGTCGAAGATAGCATGTTTGACTCTCTCTTTTTTAATGGCTTTGTCTTTATGATTTCTCTTTGTTTTTGTCTAGATCTATGTGAAAACCGGTAAATCGCTTTAATGTAATTGTTAGGAGGTTATTTTGTTTATAGAATTCGTCGAACTCACCTCCAACGTTGATTGCGTATGAACGTTGACAGATTTATTTCTGCTAAGGGTGGGTAAAAACACAGTAAAACTGGTTAATAACTTTCATTTCAAACCCGTCTCGGATTTGAAATGTATGATGTCGGCGACCAGCCAAGATAAATTATCATGTGCATGGAAAGCCCAAAGTGAGCACTATAAATATATTGAAGTCATTTATTTTTGCGCGTCATTTCCTGCAATATCGTAACTTAAATGCTTGAAGTTTAGAAGGTTACACACGTGAAATTAATGCTCTCAAAGAAACACTTCATTGTGTGTTTCCGTAGAAAATATTGTTTTCTAAAATTGTTATATTTGATTTGTATGACCTGTATTAAAACATAATATTGTAATATGCGTGATCGTATTTACATAAAAAAACAGTGAATCTTATTGAACTGGGGTGTCTCTGTGGGTTTTAAAGATATATCGGTATGTCTGTCGGGCAATATCTCCACGTCATAGTGGCGGAATTCCTGAGAGGCGACAGGAACGAAACGGAGAGAGTGTAAGTGCAATAAAGAACGGTTTTATGTAGAAAAAAATCTTAATGTGAGGTGAAACAAAAATTTAAATAAAAATATTGCCACAGCATTTCCTTTGACGTGCAGGCAGTGCGGCAAAGTTCAACCAATACAACAAAACATTTCTACAGAGACGCCTAGGTTCGAATTTTATCCCGATTTCGAACGTATTAGCTGCGGCCGTCCCTCCCAAGCTCGCCGCGGCATCCACCCAATTTGAATCATTCGCGCACACAATGATGATTTTTTTTTTAAATAATCTGCGCTCTAAATCGTCCCTTCGTCTTACATTCGCGCAACATTGCACGCCACGACAAGCTTCGGCACCAAACAGATCCTTAGAGGTCATCATGGTCCAAGGTCCAAGAAGATGGAAGCACAAGAGGAGAATACAAGGATCTTATAAGACATGGAAAGGGCAGGACGTCATTGTTTAAAGCCTAGTCAATAAGAAGGATGCAAACATCAACCAGATTTGGTAAACGCCGTAAGGTCGAGTAGCGCAAGTCACTTCTAAACGATATTTTTTTTGCGTTGCGTTGCATTACAGCGTTTGCTCCGTACGCTCACGAGTGGACGCTCGTGAGCGTACGGAGCAAACGCTGTAAATTTCCCGCCTATCCAGGGCGTCTGGGCGGGAAATTAAACGTGCCTGGCGTCACGCGTTGCCGGGATGGGAACATCAGCCTTGAGCAAGGTTATGTACAAGTATACTGGGCTTATGAACCCGTAAGTAGAAGCTATTCCGTTAGTAATTACTCCGCACAGTCCAAGCTTGTGAGGAAAGGTATTGCGAAATTATGTATTAGAGTTTTTGTAGCAAAGCCCCATTTCCACAAGAGCTGGAACAATTTCTTAGTCAGGTCGAGAGACTCTACACTCTAAGAAAAAAGGGAGCGCGACTTAGTCCCTCGGGGGACCAAATGCGCTGCCACCACCATTAGTCCCCTAGGGGAGCAACTGTAACGGGATAAATTGTTGCGCCCCGTCAGTTAGTCCCTCGCACTATCTCGAGTGGATTTTTTTTAGCTTGCGTTTGTTTTGTATTAGTACGGTGCTGCCAGGTGTGACGTTCCGGGCGTGGTTCGTTCTTCGTTGTTCATCTGGATTGTTATCGGAAACAGCGGCGACGATGGCATGAAGGCGTCTGGATACTGCCCCTGAATGTGCTCTTTAGGTGGAACGTGCCGTGCTTCAAGTGTGTCGTTGCGAATTTTGAGTTCGACATTGGACTACCCAGAAAGGTTTGTCACGCAGAGACGGAGGCGCGTTCCCACCGGCGATGTGATCTAGTCGCGCGATAACTTTCATCGCAAAAGCGACCATCGCGGGCAAAAAGCGACGCGATTTGAGCAGTCGCTCCTCGACCCGACTTTTTTGCGATGCGATCTAGTCGCGGAGCGGCTGAGCCAATCAACGACGTTCGGAGCGAGAGTTTCGGATAAACGACTCGCCAACGAAGGTGTTGGACTCGCTTATCGCACACGCCGGTGGGACCATCTATTTTTTTTTTTTGCGATGTCGCGCCATAGAGTAATATAGTAAACGTAAAGAGAGGACACAGGAGCCGATTCGCGGCCCAGATAGTGCGTTTCATACCCTCCGCTACGTGGCGCTTTTCTGCAATTTGGTTACAATTAATTAAAACTCTTTCTGTGAAAAGTATTTATTTTTTAATTGGCAATGCTTTAAAATTGTTTAAAGTACTTACAACGGCTAAATAGTTTAAATCAAATACGTGACAAAAACCACGTGATTAATGGCGCCTGCCATGGCCTGCCTGCCTGCACGCCGTCGCCTCTGCATCATTCTGCATGGCCTCTGCTCGTCCCTGCGTCTTTCGTCTGTGCCGTGCGTGCCGTCCATCTGTGCTTTCTGCTGCATCATGTTCGGTCGACTTTGCATCAATCAAGGTGACGCATGACCGCCCGCATGCTCGCATGCTCGGCGTGAATTCGTGGAGCCGATCGGTTCGAGCTTCTCGCGCTGTTGTTTCTGCCGGGCTGTCTGGCCGCACTTGAACCTGTGTGCATGTTGATTTTCGATGAGAGTGTTTAAAAAAAAAGAATTTAACTTACGACGCAGCACACGACATTGACCATGGGTTTACAGATGACGGTGTTGAACGAACCTCTAACATTGCAGATAGAGCCTTGGTTGTTATGCTGTCTGAAATTTCCAGGAGGTGCGTTTAGCCCCTTGTATACCCTGTTGTGCACACTCCAAAAACGTCTTCTGTTTAACGCAGTCTCCTCATTTCTCTCATTCGGGAGCTTAAAGGGGCGGTGCAACGATATTCAATGGGAATGTTCTTCACTTTACGCAAGCTTACTGGCACTAGTGGGACTCAAGAATATTCGCACGCAACGCCACTAACCAAGAAACTCCTTTGTTGCGCTGTAAGTTCGAGGACAAAACCGAGTGTTTTCATTCAATCTCTCCTTCGAAAAACCTGATGACGTAGCTGGGCGGTAGCAGTACCGCCCACTGACGATATTTGAATACGGCTCATAGATTGGACCCGAGCATGGCGTGGACACTCGATTTGGGCTCGTGATAATCGATAGTTCGAGAAACATTCGTGTAGTGTCCTGTGTCCAATCGCTGCAATGACGACAACAGCCGAACCATAACAATGTCTTGAACTCAGCGCATGGCTACGATCAACATTGGCGGCATATAATCGGCTCCAGATCACGGGGCCGCTTGTTATGGCTTCGAGTTGAGGGGGTGAACTCTGCTCGTTTTTCTTTATTTTTTTCTGCGACTTCGATTGCCTGTGGTAAAAACTAACGGGTATTTCACAGATCATTAACGTCAGGGATTCGTTCTAAGCGGTATTTGCGCAAAATAAAAATATCAGTGCATTGCCCCTTTAAGACTGTTGGCTTTACAGTAAAGGCTGTGGTCTGTGGTTAGGGGGCTTCAAACATCAGCTTGGTGTGTGTGGTGATAAGCCATTTCTTGAAGTTGACAACGAACACGTTTACTTTGTCTTTGAGGTTCCGCACCTTCCCAAAACAACCAAGAGCAATCTCCAAGCCCACAAACTTTGCATTTGAAATGAGGTTATTGAGTGGTCTTCTATTGTTGAACTTTAATGTTCTATCCATGAGATGAGCTTGCAATTGGCTCCGAAACTTACTGAGAGACACATTTTTTCAAGAACCTTTCTGTAACAAGGAAGAAAATTGTGCCCCACAGGTACTGGGTGCCTCACTCTTTCTTGCAATCATATCCCTTGTTTATGCCAAGGAACTTCCTGAGGCAGCCATGGCTACAGCCTTTTTCTGTGATAGGATGTGCATACTTTTTGACTGTCTAAATAGCTAAAAAATTCAAGAAGACGGGGCAGAAGTTGCGTCATGCCATTCTGAAGGGAGAATCTGAAATACTTGATTTTTTCCACCAGTAACTCGGATGGATTTCAGCATGGCAGTTCCAAAGTAGGAGGCAGCCATAAGCCATCACTGGGTGGCAAGTTACTATAAAAAGTTTCCTCATGCTCTGTGATGAGCTTTCAAGCAGCCATGACTTGAAGTTCTTACTTACACGACGCCTGCAGCAAGACACACTTGAGAACGTTTTTGGAGCTATATACGACAAATGCTGGGCTGCAACACAAACCCAAAAGTGGATCAGTTCACCTCAGGACTAAAACACCTCTGGATAAAGAAACTGTTCAAACTGTCGGACAATGAAAACGTAGAGAATGACAAGGCTGACCTCCTAAAGGAGTTGCAAATATCTTCGCACCATGAAAGTTTAATTTCAGACATTGTAGAATGTCTTCCAATTGGTAACTTCCCGCCACTAGAGGATATTTCTGAGCTGGCATCAGACATCAGGTCTAACATAATTGATGACTCGTCCACTTTTTTTTATTACGTTTGGGGCTATTTGATCAAGCTTTTGCTTGAACAGACAACTTACAGCTATGGCTGTTTTCAGCTGCTATCGGATGAGTCTAATAACTTGACCAGGCCTCACCAGTGCTGTCATGTTCCTAAAGCATACCACGTGCCTGGAAAATTCTTCGGGAACTTAGTAGTACCATCACAGGCTGCCTTTCATTTTATTCAGCAACTAGAAAATCACTTTCTTCCCATAATAGAGAGTGTGACACATGTTCGAGGAGTCTGTGCCGCCTTGTATAGCACACTTTGAGGTCTGAGTGGTTTTAGCCTTTGCCCAGAGGAGTACCACAAAGGGTTTTTTAAAGTTGTTTTGTAGAATACGCTTGTGTTGACATGTTTGATTTCTTAACCGGAATTTGGACAAAGTTCGGTTGCACTCTTCAGTGGTTAATAAGAACGAGACAGGTTTAACCGTTAATAGTGTATTAACAGAGGCGGTTGCCAAACCAAGAACAAAAAAGTGCTTAAGTGGGCGGTGCAGCTTGCTCTGCAAATATTTGTTTCCCCTTTTTCCAGCGAATGTGTATCACGGCTCCCTAACAAAAATAGTTGTCCACTTTCTACAAAATTTTGATAGAAAATAGTGTACAGAGGCTGAAAATATTTGAAAGAAAATGTATCCACTTTTGTATCCACTGTCCATAGTTTTTTAGCCGCTTTTTTCTGAAGCCATATTTCTTTTTTGAACAATTTCGGGGAATGTTTAGGGACGTTGAATCTTGTCAGATTTCGAATAGAGTTCTCATTGTTTGGTAATGGCGCGCCCGCAGTGGTTTGAGGCCATGCAAATTGGTGTTTTCTTATATGTGCCGGAAATCGGGAATTTGTACTATCCGGCGTGTGCTTCGCACTGTTATTATACTCTTCTGACTGGTAATGACAGCGATGTCTTATTTATTTTTGCACTTACTTCCCGTACCCGAGTCGGCGTGAAAGTGAATGTATCATACAGCATGTTATCCGTGGAAAGGTTTTGTTAACTTGGTTCCGCTAAGAATCTATTACGAAGTGTACGATATGCCGAAGTCCTTCATATTCATTTATTTTTGAGAGTATCGATCTCTTTCGTATAAAACATACAGAGCTTCTGAAGTAAATCATGTATACATGAATGTGGTCCAATAAAATGTGTTGGAACCACTTACTGTTGTTGACCCCAAAATGCTCCACCAGCCAGGAGTCAATGCGGCGATTGTGTAACTTCAATGCTTTACAATAGAAAAAGAACTAGAAATATATATACTTATGCCTTGTGAAGTAAGTTGAAATATTGTTTGATATATTTTGCACGGACTCTATCGTAAAAAATAAAGCAAAAGTGCGTGTATTAAAAAAAAAACAAAAAAAAAACAGCGGCTTCGGGAGTCAAGGAACTCCCGAGAGCCGAGCGAGGCGGGGAGGAAAAAGAGAGAGAAGGGTACCGGAGAACCGGAGCAGAAACGCCCAAACCGAAACCGAAACTAACTTGACCGGAAACGGAATTAGATTACACTTAATACCGCCCGCTAGGAGCGCTACCTGTCACTGGTCTATCTGGGCCGCTGGGGCCTATGGCAGTGTCCGCTCTTTACCTTGTGTATATTACTCTATGGTCGCGCGATGCGACTAGATCGCCGGTGGGAATGCTCAGTTTTAGCGATTGAAGTGACCATTTATTCTTACTGCGAGACACCGGTGTTAAAAACGTGGCTTCTACAAACTGTTAAGTTTAATTTTAAAAAGAAAAACAAGTGTTAGTATTTGGAGGTGTTGCGTTTGGATAAATGCACATTTTTTGCGCGAAGGCAAATGACGTAAATGGGACTTGTGGAATGTCAACAGATCCTTTTTGACGAGGTAGTTGGGTGAAGTCGAGTCAACACATTCGTTAACTCGCATTCACACAGCGCGTGAAGCTCTACCATGTAATGTCTTAACGTTCGTGGCACATTAAACAAATTCGCCAGTTTCGTCCGAGTTTTGTCAACACTTCCAGCCGTGCTGGGCTGAGTCTCGCCGATCCCCAAGACAAGCGAAATATCACCCGTCCTCCTGGCAAACATTCCGTTTGTCTTCGGGGACTAAATCGTGCAGATGCACCTTGTCTGAGGGGGACTAATGGATGCTTTTGCTCGCGCACGCCTATCGGTTGGTCCCAGTCAAGCGCAGTTAGTCCCCAGCTTTCGCGGACGGTACCTAGCTTGAGCCAGATGGTCCTTTCGGGGAGCAACTGGGAGTTCAGAGGACCAAATGCTGCCGCTAGTCCCTTGAGGCTAACTTTTTTCTTAGAGTGTAGTCGGTAGTCCTTTAACATAACTTCTTGTATTAGGCTTTGGGGAAAACACTTTAAAGGTATTTAGAGCTTTTCTTGACTCATTTGTGGAGCAGTGTTTTAGCCTACCTCGCGTCCAGTTGTGATTAGGCACCGCCAAATTATTTCCGACAGGGTTAAAGTTGCTGCCAGGTTCAATGTAGCGGTGATCGCTTCTGCACTTCCACAAATATATACCTTATGCTCCTCAAATTAAAACGTAGGACGAAACCAATTTGGAGCCGAGGTAACACGTCGTTGCAAATGTGTTGCATGCGCAGTTGTTAGTTTAGAAAAGCCCTCTTTCCTGTAACAAAATTTGGGAAGGCCAGACCAGCAGGGCTCGTGAGGACTCTTTGCCTTTATGGAGAGTTCTATCGAAACACTAAGCTGTGCACTGCATTAAGCTTGGCCGTTTTCCCCAGTTGAATATTACTCAAATATTGGCTGAACCTCTAAATAAGAGCGTTAGGGGAATTCGTGACGTATTTCTCTTTCTTCATTCCTCGTGTGTGTTAGTATGAAATCACTTACTATTTCCGATGTTGGTGTCCCCTGTTAACCAGCCTGACAGATTGTTTTGACGTTATAATTAGTCTTTTGAGGGAATGATGTCCGGTCCAATTTCATGTTATTTACTCTTTTTTTTTTATGCAGATGTAGCTTGTTATGAAAGAAAACGAAAGGCGATTGTACTTCCAACTACAAACTTTATAACAACAAAATTTCGCCCAGGACAACGAACAAAAAGTTTTTAATAAAAGCTAGACTAGGTTCAGTGTCCCTGCGCCTAACAAACGCAGTGCAACTTTACATGAAACAAAAACACCATCGCCTAAACAAAATAAGCGCACACTGTTTTTTTGTTTTTTTTTAAATTAATGCCTACGTGGTCGATGACGACGTTTTTAAGCAATGTCGGCAAGTTATGAGCAAGAGATTCACGTACATAATTAGTGCGGAAATGGGGAAAAATCCAGATTTTGTGCGTTGGATACTGATTATTGATCCCCGTCTAGTCAAATCACAAATATTCCTAGGGGAAAATTCGGATAACTATTATGGTGGCGAAAGCGTACAAGCATGTGGTAGCATATCGTATACTGAAAAAAGTAAGAACGGGTGTTTTTTTTTTTTTAAGCACGGTTGATTCATCATGGCTCCACCATGCTTACGTAATCTCATCCCTCATGATACATCATGAATCCACTGTGTTTACGTCACATCATACGTTATCAGTTGTTCGATACTACATGTTTCAGTATGCGTGTATGCCAATTTTGCGATCATAATTAAGTTATCACAATTTTCTATATGGGTGAAACAACAAGAAATACGCCCTACATTGAAAGTGAGAAAAAAGATAATATGCGGTAGTCATAGCCAATGGCAACAATGATAATATTATAATTAAAAATAATAGATTGGTATGAGTGTCAGCGCTGTGTGTGTGCGCGTGCTTTCTACTCGTGCTTTGTCTCTTTCGAGCTGTTTTATTCATTCTGACTATGCAGTGTCTGGCCGAAGTATACATTTTGATCTGTAAATAAACTGTAATCCCATTCATTTTGTAGAGCATTGTAACGAGCATTTTTAATAATTGGTTTGGGCGCTGCTCTTCAATGTATTCCCTCTACAAGATGCGCAGAATCATTTTGTTTGTGGATATATTAAGATGTCTAATAATGTTTTTTTTTATTTTCGTTTGGTTGTTATTTAACGGTGGTATTTTATTTCCTGTTAAGGCAGTGTCCTACTGTGACTGGGCCTCGTCAAGTGTATTTGTTTTTGTCCTTTATCCCAAAACTTTTGTGCCCGAAGTGAAGAAACAAGTAAACAAACTGACTCTTACCTTCACTCTCCAATCTACCACCTGCATGAATACGCAGAATGTGTTCTATCAGCCGATTTTATAGCAATTTTTGACGTTTAGATGAACGGCCGGCTGTAACGGCCAGTTGTAGCAGCCGGATGTAATGAAAACCGCGCACCGAAAAGCGTTAAGTCCATAGGAAACCATATCAAAACACTGCAGTCCCCGCGCGATTTGAACTCACGCCACTGAGATTTCTGAGCCAAATGCTTTACCGACCGAGCTATCCAGCTCTTTTTTTCTTCAATTGTCGGGCTACCCAGATTTGGTTGTGGCTAACAGGCAAAAGCGAACACATTGGTGCGGCACGAAAAGCCGCGGTTGCGGGCTTCGCGGCCGGCTATGCTACGCCATCTCACGGCGTGTGCCAGAAATGAGAGCCAATCTTAGGTATGCGGTGCTGTTCGGACGCCCTTCTCTGCTTCCATGGTGGCCGTGGCTCCTACAAAGCCACGAACGCCCAAAAGTGGAAGGTCTATCACACATTTTCTGCTTGCCAGCCTTTGTAAGAATGATAGAGCTTACATGTGATGCAGCAAGCTTTACGAATTTCTTAATGAACAATACGTAGTTTGCAGGTCTAAATCTTGCTTCAAACGAAGCAAGATTTAATATTGCTCTTAACTGGCATAATTCCACTAATTGATCGAAATCTTTGTTCAACAGAACTCGACATTATTCCAGAAGTGCAAATTCCTGTGTTCTACGACGATCAATTATGACCGCTATTTATTCACTCACCGCCTTGTCGATGGAATGCCTTGTGGCGGTAGAAAGGTAAGTGAAGTGGGCCTTTTAGTCCGTTGACGATCATTCATTTCGACGCGTTATATCTTATGAAAATTAAAGGCAACTACCTCGTTATGAGTGAAAATGTTTCTTTTCCGCATGATTCTTTTAAAGACCTATTACTAAGATTAAATGCTAATTTTATATTACTCTTTTTTTGAACACTTGGCCGGCCTGTTCGTGACGGTCGGGCAGCCTAGTGAACAAGTACATGAACTAAAAGTTGACGGTTCGCGGTCAAGGGCATTGATCTTACGAAAGCTTTAGTGGACCTCTAGAATCCCGCCCTGTACTCACGAAACGTCTAGCCGTGCATATAATTTTTTTTTAATTATCGTGCATGCGTTATTGTCAAAATTTTTGTAGTCCCAGTATGGTTTTACTGAAGGGAGAGGAATGGGAGATTAACTGAGGAGCCAGTAAGAAGTCTTCCGTCACTGAAGGCTAAAGGCCAACTATTTCTTTATTAACTATCATCTGGCCATTTTAGAAAGCAAAATGAACGATCCTTAAATCGCAAGTTCAAGCTTTAGTTTATGAACACAGTTGTTGCTAGTGAAGGCGAAACAGGACTTCAAAATTATATAAATGTGCGAGCGTAGCGTGACAGACATAACTAGATATACGAACAACATGTTTCCTCGTTACAAAATTATGGTTAACATCAGAAGACCAATTCGCGATATTTCAAATGCTTTAAAATGCTCATTCTTACGTTCTAAGATTATCGTGGAACTCTCTACTGACACTGAGAGTGCACTCATCGGCAGACGTCACTGCATTTGACAAGCGGAAAGCGTGTGTTCCTCATTCCATTTTCCTCTGCGTGTATAGCTCCGTGTTTTCGTTGTATTTCCTTTTATTAAGGCTATAAATGAATACTGGTTGAAACGTACTGTTTTGTGGTTTTTTTTTTTTTCGTGTGAATTTCAGCATGGCATACAAACCGGTCTTGAGGTGTGGGGCTACAGTTCTATTGCATTGAAAGTATTCAGCAAAAATGAAAATCGGCAATAAGCGTTTGTCTTACATGCGATAGCCTTATAAAAATAATAATAATAATTTTTTTCATTTCCATCGATTGTGATGGTGGGACCCGTGGAAAAAAGCTGCGATATGCAGCTTGACTGGTCCTCGGGTCCCTACAATGGTCAGCAGCAACGGAACGGAAATAAAAATAAAATAAAAAAAAAAAAGAAATACACACAAAAAGTAACAACTGAAAGATACATAACTACGCACTTGCCTGTTTTTGAAGCAAATAGAAAAACATAAAAAGCAACAATTAAAACTTACAAAACTATGCACTCTTGCCTAATAATGGAGCAAAATAAAACAGAAAATAGAAATCAGGTACAAATCAGGAGCAAAAATACACATGCAATTCTTGCGAAGTTTTAGAGTCAAAATCTACACCATCAAAATAAAAATTATTTAGCAAGCATGGTAGGGCAAATTTAAGCATGTAGAAACCATAGTTCGTGCGCTGAGTGACCATCTTCCACTTCTCTGCGCCGCGAGTGGGGTATGCTGGAGAAGTTTCCTGTAAACCTGCAAGGTTTTCTAAAAAACATGAGCCCCTTATTTTTTCCCTCCTGAAACTAGAACATAGTCTATAATTTTATAACTTGTAAAAAGTAATTTTCTTAAAATTTCTAAATATTTCAAAAGTGTGAGCATCATAAGGGACATTGCATATGCTTCTTAATATTTTGTTTGTAACAAAAACAGTTTTTGCATATTGGTTGGTGTCGATGAACCCCGTACTAGATGGCATTATATTAAGTGAGAGTAAAATAGAGAGTTGTAAACTAACAATTTAACATTCGTGGGCAACAAAGAACGGTTGCGATTTAGGATCCCAATTACTCGGCATAATTTTGGAATAAGATAATTTATATGTCAATCCCAGGACATGTTCTCATTAAAAAATACGCCAACAGTTTTGAAGGAACTAACTACTTCAATTGGACAAGAATTTAAACTCAGTGATCAAGATAAAACCACAGATTTGTTTTTTAAACAGAAAATTATTGCTTTCGTTTTATTAATGTTTACCTTTAAAGAGTTACAATCACTCCAGGATTTTATCTTTGATAAAGTGTGGTTGGCTATATCTATTAAGTCATCACCTGTTTCGAAAGAAAAAAAAAATATGCTTGTATCCTCCGCGTAGTTAACAAATTTTCCTTCCCTGTTAACGTTTACAATGTGGTTTACGTATAAGTTAAAAAGAAAGGGTCCCAAAATACTTCCTTGCGGAACACCTGAGGTGATGGGTTTTACCGTGGACGAGTTACTGTTGATGCATACGAATTGTTTTCGATATTGCAAGTAAAACTGCAAAAGCAACAGTGCCTCTCCACGGATACCATACATTTCAAGTTTTTTAAATAAGACATCATGACTTAGGCAGTCAAATGCTTTCGTGAAATCTAAAAATGACCCTGGCACTATTTTTTGTTTTCAAAATTTTTCAAAATGAATTCTTTTTGGGTAAGTAACGCTGTTTCAGTAGAACAGTCCTTCCGGAAACCAAATTGAGAAGAGGTAATAAGATTATATTTGATTGAAAGTTTACTAAACGATGATAGATTAATTTCTCTAAAGCTTTAGAAAAAACGGGCAATATATAAATGGGCCTATAATTGCCTAGCTCATTTTTATTGCCTTTTTTTATATAAAACAGACACCTTTGCTATCTGCATTCGTGTAGGAAATACACCAGTTTCAAAAGAAAGATTAATTATATACGTGAACAGGGGAGCAATTATATCAATGACATATTTAATTGGACGAATTCTCATTTCATCAACATCACAACTTACACTATTTTTTAGCTGCATTATCACATTTGTAACTTCTGTGCTGGTAATTGGCTCTCAAAAAAATAGAGCTGCAGTTCGTTTGCTGAATATATTTGCAGGAGTCGGAACCATCGACAGTGCTACCTAGATTTACAAAATGATCATTAAATACATATCCTAAGTCTTTACCGGTTACGTAAACACCTTTGTATAGTAACGTTTCAATGGTGTTTGACACAGGAGCACCCTTAACCAAAGAACCTAGATGCTTCCACATAACATCGGTGCGGCCACTTGATGCTGATTCCTGTCGACACCCCCTCCCCCACCCCCCCTCAAAAAAAAAAAAAACTGGCTTTGTAATTTGAAACGAATGCGCATGCGCGGGAAAGTGATAAGTGAAGGAATTAAGGGGAACAAAGGGCCCATCGTACGTGTGGTAGTATTTACCTGATTGTACCGGTCGTACCGGGTAACAAGCAACACTACGTGTAGAACGTTCTGAGATCCCCTGGGCGCTGTGTCCTCTTCCTCCTCTTTTGTCCCCCTACTTGCCCCGTTTATTCGGACTTACAAAACAATATTATTACAGTACGTACCCCTAGGGTAATCGAACCCTTTGCCCCATGACCGTCAGCACTATTCTCGACAATGCAACTTTTTCTTATTGGCATTTCCGAGAGCTACACCTTTGCCACGGTGCAAAATGTACATGTCGCAAAGCCTAAAATGCAGAGTGTTTATTTTACTGCAAACGTAAACTGCTCGCTCTCTAACCCTCATTCGCTACCCAAATGTAGCGCTAGCGGATCGAATCAAACGCCAAAGTAGCAGCGCGAACCGTTACCTTATCCAAAAGTTAGGCGATTTTCAGAACATTTAAATTGGACAATTTGGTCCAATTTCGCCCGCTTTCTGTAGTTATCGCCATAGAGCTTTTAGCATTAGAGAGGTCCTTCGGCTGCCATTTTCGAATTGAAAGTTTCAAACAAAACTTAACGGCTTTGAATAAAATAATGGTTCGTGCTGACACATTGGCATCGGGTTCGGACCGCTAGCGCTACCTTTGGGCGGGGAATGAGTGTTCGACGACGCGTAGTTTACGTTTTGCGGTAAACAAACCCGCTAATTCTTTTTTGAGGGGGTACATTTGGTATATAGGTAAGGACACGCTGGACATCGAACGCTGCGACGCCATCGACCACATAAAGTCCTCCTGGCGTGCGTCCGAGTGGGCTCAGCCAACAGCCTCTCCACCGTCCAGACAGCACTAAAGCCCCTCGATATGTTTGCGTTTGTCGTGCAAGTAGCGTCAAATGCGCGAGTGCACGAGACCCGCGTCTCGAGCGGCCCTTGGAAGCGTATGGCGGCACAGCACTGAAATGAGCGGCCCTAGGAAACGAATGGCGGCGGAGCACCCGCTCGTAGCACGCGTCTCGCGCGGTTCCACAGCAATGGTTGGCGGTACTTGTAAAAAACCGTCTTTATCAAGGGGCTTTAGACAGCACAACTGTGGAAAATAGAATAAAAAAAAAGTGTTTCGTTCCCAGCGTGCGCTTTTTCCGCTAGGATCATCCGCTCTGTCCTTGACAAACACCGGATGGAACGTCACGCCAGAGATATGACCGCTTCAACGCGTTCACAAAACGTTTATTGCCGCCATTGAAGTACGGAACTGGTGACGAAGCAGTGTCTAAGTACCACGCGTAGCGCAAGTGCCAAGTCTTTCATGACGTGGCGCAACCAGGAAATTGCCTTAAAAACAAGCATGTGTTTCATAGAGAAGTATGGGAAACCGGGCCCGCCAATGGCTGCCATTTGCCGTGTTTCGAAGAGCCGTCTGGTGGCGCAGCTTGCAACTAAGGGGAAGACACTTTCTGGCAGCTCCGTCGCCCGAACATGTCCAAGCCTATACGTATTTTTCACCCTGACTGTGGCCGGGGGGTTGTGAACTGTTGGTCGTAAACCGTGTGTTATTAAACTTCAGTAACGTTTTTTTAATCACGCGACGCTCCTGCTCCACGAGGGCTCGTGTAGCCGAGGCGCAATCGAGCGCAAGAAGCTCGCGCGTCTGTCCACATTTGTGCAAGGATTCCACAGCTTTCAGCTAAGGGCACGCTTTCAAATGAGGACTCAGAAAGGAGAATAAGGCAGAAGTCATACCCTTGCAAAACGTCCTAC